TGTTAACGGATTGACTGATTTTTGTCCTTACCTCTAATTGCCGTCCAAAAGAGTGACGGAAAAGAGCACGTGAGCGGCATGTGATGGAATTAGAAGGGCAATGCACTCATTTTATTTTCCTTCCCGCCCATTTAAATGGTTACTTGCATTGCCCTAGCCACGAGTTGAACCATATCAACCAAAAACCAATCTGATGAAGGCGAAGACAAAGAGCAAGGAGGTAGCTAGGCGAAGGAAGAAGAACCTGGAACATGTCTTGCTATTGTGGGAGAAGGATACGAACGTTTACTTCATGGACATATCAGTTGGTTTGTTTTTAATTACTACACTTTTTCAAATGTTGGGGCATACTTTTGTTTTCTATTGTATGCAACAAAGTGGAGGATGTGAGTATTTGGAATGATATGACCCTCCATGTGTAACTGGTCTAAGAACATCATTCTTGCCTTGTTAGAGAGAATAAAATGAATGGAAGCATAATGGACAAGAACTCAACACAGAGAGAATGTGTTGGGGATCTTGCTAATTCTGACCAAGGTGTTGGTGTTGTTGAACTTGAAGAACTCAAGTGTGAACAAGAACAAAGCCAGTAATCCTGCACCTGGTTACCAACTAGGAAATTAGTAATCTCATAGGAATCTCATTTGGTGTTTTGTTAGTCCAGAAGGGGGTGTTGCTTATGTAATGTGGTGTTTTGTTTAGTCCATAAATTTTCTCAATTTTGTGAAATTTTCCCATAACTGTTGCATTGTCTTTCTGAACCCAAGTTCTTTCATTGTCTATGTCAACCCCTACACTTCAATTCTCTCTATCAATTCCAGAATTTTCATTGACTCTATCTACATTGCTTATGTCCTAAGCACATTCATTTCTTTCTTCCACATTGTATCAACTTTGTTAGCAACAATCTCATGATACTCTAGTAAATACGGTTGCTTATTATTTCCTATACTAGATAAAATAGTTACTTGACTGTCCTCTAAACCATTCAAATCTTCATCATCGATCTCCTCAATAATAACAGAATATCTAATCTCAGTATCTACATCATTTCCTACCCCCTCCTCATCAAATAGTGACCTATGTTCAATGTATACATCAACAACTGTGTTAGGATATGGGGAATTAAACGTTATGAACACTTGAGTATCAGTATATAGGAAAACAAACCATTACCCAAATTCTTGTCTGGCATCTAATAATGGTACCTGAGAATCTCTTCTTCGTATCCTAACCCCCTTGTCATCTCATCAAGTTCCAGTAAAGACATGATGTTCGGATATCTGTGGTAAAAAAAAGTTGACCCTACCCCCAACATATTCCTTATGTGGGTTGTCTTGAAATACCCTATCATGATGCAATTTCAATGTAAAATATTTGGAATTTGGGCTCTACAAAACATAATGGGGACTATGAAATTATCAAATACTATGACCACTTCACCAACATATTGTCGAATTTCTAAATACATTCAAACTAATATGGGGATCACATGCATATAAAACAAGAACTCGTATAAAATAATTAGAGATTGCATGCAAGAACTACTTCGTCTATGTGCAATTTATGGGAAAATCATAATATCACCACAACATGATTTTGAATGTTGAACCCTAGTTAGGTAGACCATCAATTGGGCTTCCTCAAGTGGCTGAAAAGGTTAAATGAGCGGGAAGGAACATAAAATGACTGTATTGCCCTTCTAACCCCATCACATGCCACTCATATTCTCTTTTTCGTCACTCTTTTGGATGGCTGTTAGGGGTAAAGACAAAAGTTAGTCAATGTGTTAATATATTAGATGAAATTAGAATTTGGGGGGTGAAAGTGGAATAAGTGACAAACCTTAAGGACTAACGGTGCAATTTACCCTAACTTTTATTAGCTAAGACACATTTAAGAGTTTAATTTTAATTTTTTTTATTTTAGGGCATTGATGAGTAACCAATAATGAGAGAGTCAGGATGGGTGTAGAGTTGACAGTAGGAGCTGGACATAAAGTGATGATAAAAAAAAAATTATAAATTTCTTGCATGGGCGGATGCTAATATAATTTTAAGATAATGTCATATTGATTGAAAATGTGATTAAAAATAATGATCTAATGATATGGTGCTGTTTTTTTTATAGGGGTGCAACTCGGGTGGGTTGGGCGAGTGGACAGTCAACCCTAGTCCAATCCTAAGTATATAACCTTCAATCCTAATCCTAACTCTACCTCGGGTTGAAAAACTCAACCCGAGCACTGCTCGAGTTTAATTTGGGCGGGCTCAGGTTGCATTCAAAGTTAATGATTTCGGGCTTATTTCGGGTTATTTTACGGGTTCAATTCGAGTTGAGTTCATATAGAGCTCAAAATAGGCTTGTTGTTCTAAACCTAATACACATATTATATAATATTCACATAAATTAACAACCAATAACTTCAACCAAGTTTTTAACAGTATTAATGCTAGAACAAAAATGAAAATGAATGAGAGAGACAAAGAACGATAGAACAAAAATGAAAAACCAGTACTAATGCTTTATATATATATATATATATATAATTTTTTTTTAATTGGTTGGGTTCGGGTTGAACTCGTGAACCCGAGCCCTTAACCCGAGCCCAACCCAAATTGAATTCGGGTTGAATTTTTTTGACTCAACCCCAACCCAAGTATTAAAAACTCTTGCTTAAGCCCTAACTTTTTCAGATTGGGTTGAGGTTGAAATTGGATTGCCCAACCTAAGTTGCACCCGTAGTTTTTTATGTTAGTATTATTCATTCAAAGTTCAATACTCACTATAAAAATCCTAATTTTTCTAAGGATTAATCTCAACTTGCATCCTAAAAGATCATTAAATCTTAATTTGTACCTTTAAAATTTAAAAATATTAATTTATTCCCTAAAAGATATAAATACGTATCAATGTGCACCTGAAACTAAAGTTTGAGTTAATCATAAATTGCATCCCTCAAAATTTAAATATTTCATATTTATGACCCAAAAAGAATTTTATCCATTAATACTCATTAAATAGTTCTCAATTGTATCGTATCATAACATTTTCGTGCTATGTTCAAGTCAATAAAAAAATATTTTTAACAAAAAATATTTTAATGTCGAGTCGATTGCTTTGTGTCTTGTATTTCACATTTATGACAATTCATATAATATTATTTAATATTTTTAAAAATTAAAAAATACTAATTTTTTGTATATAATACTTGTTAAATAACTATTTTTTATCTATAATTGTGTTATTCGTATATAACTTTAATTTAATCAGACAATCAAAAGATTTGTGTCTAATTGTAGACAGAAATAATTATTTAACGAGTATTGTAGGCAAAAAATATGTATTTTATATATATTTTTTAATTTTAAAAAATATTTTTTATTGACCAAGCACGACACGAAGATATAATAATATTGCATGGATTTAAAAATTAGATTTGATAATTACAATCATTGATTTCACTATGAGTTTCAACATTTATTGAGACACACTACCTATTCAATAGTTGTGATTATCAAAACTAATTTTTAAGTCTAATTTTTAATTAATCCAAACTTTTTTAACGGAAAAATGGACAGAATTAGACCAGGAGCATATTGATACAAATTTATATTTTCTAGGGTGTAAATTGATATTTTTAAACTTTGAGGGTACAAATTAAGATGTGAGTGATCTTTTGGGGTGCAATAGTAATTAACTTGGTATTAAGCATAATTATAATCACCTGAATTTCAAAAAACAAATCACAATCCGTAAAACTCCAAAGAATATGTCAGCAAAAAAAATGTTCCAATCAAATTTCACAATCCGTCATCGAATCTGTTTGTGAAGGCGACCCTCATAATTTCAATTTGTTCATCAGTCTTAAGTTTCTTTCTTTAAATTTTCTTGCTGTTTCAGAGCTACACTAATTTGGTAAGTTGGACTTTCTGTGTTTTTTTTTTTTTTTCTTTGGGAGCTTATCTTGAATATTATTGGTTACTATCCTGCAATTAATGGGTATGGCAAAGGAGATGGAGTATAGGGTTGAATTGTTTAACTAGTAAGGTCTTCTTCCTTGTGAATTTTGCAACATCCTACAAGTTTTTTTTTTTGTGTCCAGAAATTCAGATATGGGTAATCATTCCCTTAATGGAAGATGAATTTTATCAAGGTAATAATTTTTTTTTGTTTTTGGAGAGGGGAAGGAGATTTGTACCTTTGATCTCATGCAAAACTTTCAAAAGGTATGGAATATCCTTAGACCAAAAGCCTGTTGGTTTATCAAGGTTATCATTCCCTCTAGTCTATGCAACTTTGTCTCTCCCATTTTATATTGGTAGAGAACCACTTCAAATACAATCTGTCTAATGTAGATCTACGGAAGGAAATCTAGATTTGAAGGTGGTGAGGAAATCTAAAACTTAAAAGAGAGCCCAGCCCTTTGTACCAAATAAATTCATCTCCTTGTAGCCTAACATCTATTTTTTTCTGTAGGCATCTGTCTATAGGTTCAAGCGTTCTTAAATAAATTTTTTAAAAATTAACTGGATCATACCTTGTCCATGGAGTTTGCGCTTGTAAAGAGCTTTAGGAGAGGTAAATCAATTGATTGCCAAAATTTAATACTAGCAAATTTCCAATTGCAAGATTGAAGATAAAAAAAGTAGCTAAAAAGGCAATATCAAAAGATCCCAAATGTTGAACCAATTTTCACAAAACATCTAATTAATGTTCTGCTTCTTGAACAGCTTTTGCATATTAACTTCATACAGCTTTGTTCTTCTTTTTTTTTTTTTTCTTTCCCTACAATGCTCCAACACTAATGCATGACTATAATAGTCTTTTTTTTTTCTTTTCAATTATTTAAGGTAATTATGTTGCTCTTATTGAAATTCTAAATAGATTTACTCTTCTTTAACAATACCATTTCTAGGATTGAATAAACTGAATTCAGTTGAGCTCCTTCATCTTCATCATGAGACCTAAAGTGCGTATTGGCCTGATCAAGCAGTATATCAGAATGATAGGATGAACTCTTGTAAGTTATTCAAGGAACTATATGAAGAACTTCCTTTCTGCACACAAGCTTCAATCTTGTCCTTCATATCAATTGCTCTTTGCCTCATTTCATCACCTTCTTTATCCACCATAAGTCTTCTTATAGCTCTTTCGATATCCCCCCTCTCCGAATCATTCTCCAATTCTAGGCCTACATTCCATATGTAACTCAGGTACCTTGCATTCACTTTTTGGTCTACAAAATAAGGCTTACATATCATTGGAACCCCCTCGGAAATACTTTCCAAGGTTGAATTCCAACCACAGTGGCTCCAAAACCCTCCCACTGCACCATGTGCCAACACCTCCTTTTGGGGTGCCCATTTAACTGTGCAACCTCTTTCTCCAACTTTTTCTTCAAAACCTTCCGGCAGGAGCTCAGTAAGTTCCGAGCCATGAACTGAGCCAGGTCGAATCACCCACAAGAAAGGTTGGCCACTGTTGGCTAGACCCCAAGCCATTTCGGTTAGATCTGTCTTGTTCATGATTGTTAAGCTACCGAAGCTTACATAGATAACTGATCGAGGAGCTTGCTTGTCAAGCCATTCAATGCAATTGGTGTCCTCTTTCAAAAAGCTAGTGGATGAGGCTGAAGCCAATTTGTGCAGAGGGCCTATTGAAAAGAATGGAACTTGATAATGTTGTTGGAGCTTTGACACCGCTGAATGCTCAAGGTTGTCCACTGTGTTGCAAATTAGGGCTGAAGAAGTTGTAAAATTGCTGAGAAGTTGAATCAGTTTTACTGAATCTTCAGAGGTTCCAAAACCAGGCAAGGGTAAATCCTTAAACCTGAGAGGATAAAGTCCTGGCACCAGGTCCTGTGCCTTAGAATCTGCACTACCATGTGATAGCATCAAGTATAAGTAAAATTTTAACTGTATTTATGTAGATAGATAATGTGTGAAGTGAGATTTTGATACTGAGGATGCATTATAGCCCCTTCTGTTGGGAAAGGAATTGATATAAGTTGAGGGGATTCTGAACTGATCAGCTCCAACTCAATACTCGAACTATGGACTTTATTCTATTATATGGTCCACTCATTCGACAAATATTGCTTGTCTTATTATTCTTCTTTTACCAAACAATTTACTCGGCATTTGTAAACCATTCAGCAACATTCATCTTCTACCTTCCTTGTCTTCACAAAATCTCACATAAAACGGTAATTATTCCCCTCGCTTGATCAAATTCAGTTATCATTATCTAAATTAGTGCACCATTCCCCTGAAAGTTCAGAGGCTTTCTTTTTTCCTATATTTTGTTGTTAGCATGAATAGTGTTTTAATCAGCAATACATTTCTTTAATTTGTTTTTGATGCGACCTATGATTAATGTTTTTCCCTTTTGTTTCGAGCATCTCTTCAGGGTTGACAGTTTCTATATGTACCTTGAAAGGGAAGTTGACCTTCTGCGTGGAGCCGAAGAATATCATGGTAAGCTAGCAAGTTGAGAGCACAGCTGGCGCGGAAGAGTATACTTGGAAGGTTCAGATGACTAGCCACAGCTTCGGAAAAGTACATGAGTGAATCGTAGATGATGCAACTGACCTGTTCGTTTGGCGCCTTTTTTTCCACCATTTGGGCCAAGTTTTCTTGGAGTGGTGCTTTGCAGTTATTGTTAATGGCTAGTAATGAATCCAATGGGTTCTTGAATGAGGTCTCATGTGCAGTTAAGTTGTCCGAGATGGGTAGGAAGATGAATTCAGGATGGTTTAAAGGATTAGGAGAATTGAATTCTGTGTGGGCGACAACGATGGAGAAACCCCTAGAGTGAAGTATGGTACCCAATTGAAGCATCGGAGTCATGTGCCCTTGAAATGGAGCCGGGACTAACACCACCACTCGTCCATGCCTTTGTGTTTCTTGATTCTTCATCTCTCTCTCTCTCTCTCTCTCTCTCTCTCTCTCTCTCACACACACACACACAGGCGTGCAGAATACAAAATCAGGTAGTGTATGGTATCTTGCATTGTTGATGTCAATTATATTTGGAGTCTTAATAGTGTGGTGAAATAGCAACATCACATCAAGATTTTTAAACTGTTAATCATAGGTGAGGTGAGGAGTATTTGTTTGTTTGTTTATAATTGGAATGATCTCCTAGATAGCGAATATGTTTTCGGCACTAATTGTTTTTTGATAAATTACCATGACATCCCTTGTATGTTGATATAATTGCATAGACATCCCCGTTATTATCTGAAATATTACTATCCTCCCTTGTAGTTTATATATTTATTTCACATACTACCTCTACCATTGGGACCGTTACTAAAACTATAATACTTATTTATGTTAGCAAATATGTCTTCTATAATACCTATTTTACCCTCCACTAAAACTACTCGACTTACTCTTAATACTAAACATATAATTACTTCTGATTGAGATAATTGGTACCAACTTCTACACAATCATTTTTAGCTTAAAACGCAAAGGCTCCACTAACCACCATCATCCAAAACGTTAAATATGAAGTTGAAGTAATACAACACACAAACCAAAAGATTAATTCTAGTTAATGTTGTACAATTATAGGAAATCCAAACCAAACTAAAATTTCACCTCAATTCTCATCCAATAGTACCCATTTAAATTTAACTCAAATTCAATCATGCTTAATCAAAATGAAAATTCAACTGAAAATCAAAATAAAAAATCATTTTTAGCTTAAAACGCAGTTGAACTGAAAAAAAAAATAATGAATAAAAAACCCCCCACCAATTTGCATTAAATCAAACTAGTTACAATTGGAATCAACCAATTCAATCACCATACAATCACAAAATTTTATCAAATTCAGCCATCACCCATAAAAATCACACCCCCACCCCTCAAAAAAAAGAAAACAGAAAAAGTGGTCACCCATCATTATCGGTCATTGCTGATTTTTTTTTTTAATCCGTGGTCGCTGCCAATTGAATAAGCCACAATTTATGGATTTTTTCCCCCATCAGTGGTCACCCCAATCGAATAACCAACGATTTATAGATTTTGTCTACTATGAATTGTTAGACAAAAATTACCCAAAATTAACACTGAAATTTACAACGAGCAAGTGTCCCTAGTGGTGATGATATGTGTATGGGTGGGTATTGGTGATATGAGGGAGTAAATTTTGAATGCAATGGTGATATCATGCCATCATTGATGATGTTGCGGAAATTACTCCCGAAATCGAATTTGGACCAATATTGACACTCACACTTGGAAAAATAAAAAAACAATCACACAAGACAAAATAATTTACGTGATTTGACAATTATCTACTCCACAAAAACAACGATAAAATGTTTTCACCATTTGGAGTAAACAGATAATACAAGAACAATTGTTCCAAACTTCACAAGTATTTACTCCAACAAAATAAGATCACTTTGATATCTCACTGGTATCACTCACAGATCTAAGAACACTCAAACTAACACCTGATATCACACAGGAGATCTCACAACTCTCAAACGTTTGAGCTTTCTATTTTTCTGACGCTTAACTTCTGCTAAGACCTCCCTTTATAAAGAAAATTGGGAGAGAAAATGAACAAAGCTTCATATCAGTGCAAATCAATGCCTGAACTGTGCATTCATGCCTGAGTCAATTTTTCTTGTGTAGCCCACATGTAGCCGACTTATGCCCAGCACCTCTGCTACTTATTTTGTCAAAATGATAGGGCCCCCTATGTTCATGCAGCCTTGTCAAGACTTCCTTGCCAAAAGTTCTGGCCACATTAAATGCTTTGTACCAGGCCACAAAGTCAATAATTCACCTTGGACAGAAACTGTTCAAGCCATCTAGAAATTTTTTTTCTGATTATGGTCCTTGATGCGCCTAGCAAGGTGCTAAAACTTGATAGATGTTGATCAAGTCTAAGCAATGCTCGAACTTAATTGTTGGAACCACCTTGGTCAACATATCAGATGGGTTATCTTTGATGCCAACCTTCTGTTGAGAAATATCTCCATCATCGATAATCCCAGGAAAAAGTGAAACCGAACATCAATATGCTTGGTCCTTGCATGATGAACCTGGTGTTTTGCCAAGTGAATTGCTCTTTGACTGTCACAAAAGATGTTAATATGCTTTTGTGATATTCCTAAATCACAAACCAAACCCTGGAGCCATAAAGCCTCCTTGACGGCCTCAGTCACTACCATTTACTCTACCTCAGTCGTTGACAGAGCAACTGTTGGTTGTAACATAGATCTCCAACTGACTGGACCTTGGGCTATTGTGGAAACATAGCATGTTGTAGACCTTCACTTGTCTAGGTCACCAGCATAATCGGAATCCATATAACCACTGATATAAGACTCTGAACTATTGTCCCACTGATACACCAATCCTACATTCAGAGTACCATGGAGATAGTGTTGTAACTATTTCACCGTCTGTTAATGTTTCTTACTAGGATATGCAATGTACCTACTCACCATATTGACCGCATATGAAACATCTGGACGAGTGCATACCATAGCATATATCAGACTTCCAACTGCACTCGTATATGGAACATGAGACATATACCCACACTCCTTCTTATTACTTGGAGACACAGATGCTGAGAGTTTAAGGTGGGCAACTAAAGGAGTAGTCACAAGCTTTGATTTTTTCATACCAAAATGAGAAAGTATCTTCTCCAAGTACTTCTGATGTGACAAACACCATCTACGCTTCTTCCTTCCTGTCTCTCAAAATTTCCATGCTAAGAATCTTCCTAGCTGCACCCAGATCTTTCATCTCAAACTCTTTATTGAGTTGAGACTTCAACTTGCTGATTTGCACCTTGCTTTTAGCAGCAATGAGCATGTCATCAACATATAAAAGCAAGTAGACAAAAGAACCATCTGGTAGCTTCTTGAAGTATACACAATAGTCATACTCACTTCCGGTGTAGCTTTGTTTCAACATGAATGTGTCAAACCTCTTGTACCACTGTCTTGGGGATTGCTTCAGTCCATACAATGACTTCGTTAGTTTGCACACATGAGATTCTTTACCAACAACCTTGAAACCTTCAGGCTAAATCATGAAGATTTCCTCCTCCAAATCCCCAAGGAGAATTGTAGTCTTGACATCCAACTGCTCTAGCTCAAGATCAAACTGAGCTACTATGGCCAATAACACACGGATTGAAGTGTGCTTCACCACTAGTGAAAAAACCTCATTGCAATCCACTCCTTTTTGTGCATAGCCCTTGGCTACCAAGCTTGCTTTGTATCTGATGTCACCTGTTCCTAGAGAACCTTCCTTTTTTGTGTACAACTATTTTCACCTAATTGCTCACTTTCCCTTCGATAATTTGATGAGTTCCCAAGAACGATTATTGTGAAGAGAATTCATTTCTTCATTCATGGTGGTTTTCCATTCTTTGTAATTATTGTTGTTTATTGCCTCCTGGATTGTCAATGGCTTATCACCCACCATGGTAAGTGCATAGGATAACATATCTACAAAATCATTATGAGCTAGTGCTTTAACTATCCTTTTGGTCCCCCAGCTGCAAAAGATGGTTGTTGTGGTTGGTATTCTGATGTCCCTTCGTCTAGAACAATATCTTCTAGAGTACTAATCTCCACCTCCACAGGATCACCCTTTTCCTCCTCTATCTGAATATCCTTCTACTTACTAGAAGTTAGCATAACATACTCATCAAAGGTCACATCCCTGTAGATCATAAACTTGTGCAATTTAGGGCACCATAATCTATAGCCCTTCATTCCAGTTGCATATCCGAGTAAGATTCCCTTCTTAGCTCTTGGGTCAATCTTACTTTCTTTGACAGAAAAATAAGCTGGATACCCAAAGACTCTAAGGGAACTATAATCAGCTAACTTGTCTGACCATACTTTATGAGGAGTTTTACACTCTCTAGCTATTGACAATGATCGATTTACAAAAAAATATGTTGTGAAACAGCCTCAGTTTAGAATTATCTATCCAATCCAGCATTAGATAACATACACCGTACTTTCTCCAACAGAGCCCGATTCATTCTCTCCATGACTCCATTTTGTTGTGGCATTCCCTTTTAGAGAAATGCTTTGCAATACCTTCATCTTCATAAAACTTCAAGAATGGCTGGTGTGAGTACTCACCATTGTCGGTTCTCAACTGCTTGATTTTCTTTTTGGTTTGCTTCTCAACTATGGCCTTCCACTGCTTCAATGTTTCAAAGACTTCATCCTTAGTCTTTAGAAAGTACACCCATACTTTGTGAGAGAATTCATCAATAAAGGTAACANTCCAACTGCACTCGTATATGGAACATGAGACATATACCCACACTCCTTCTTATTACTTGGAGACACAGATGCTGAGAGTTTAAGGTGGGCAACTAAAGGAGTAGTCACAAGCTTTGATTTTTTCATACCAAAATGAGAAAGTATCTTCTCCAAGTACTTCTGATGTGACAAACACCATCTACGCTTCTTCCTTCCTGTCTCTCAAAATTTCCATGCTAAGAATCTTCCTAGCTGCACCCAGATCTTTCATCTCAAACTCTTTATTGAGTTGAGACTTCAACTTGCTGATTTGCACCTTGCTTTTAGCAGCAATGAGCATGTCATCAACATATAAAAGCAAGTAGACAAAAGAACCATCTGGTAGCTTCTTGAAGTATACACAATAGTCATACTCACTTCCGGTGTAGCTTTGTTTCAACATGAATGTGTCAAACCTCTTGTACCACTGTCTTGGGGATTGCTTCAGTCCATACAATGACTTCGTTAGTTTGCACACATGAGATTCTTTACCAACAACCTTGAAACCTTCAGGCTAAATCATGAAGATTTCCTCCTCCAAATCCCCAAGGAGAATTGTAGTCTTGACATCCAACTGCTCTAGCTCAAGATCAAACTGAGCTACTATGGCCAATA